CTCTAGCATTAAGCACAGAGAACAGACGTCCAACTCCACCAGAAACTTGTGTAAAGATAAGTGGGAACGTCACCGTTTCGTGGCGCTAGCATCTCCTGATTTCCTCTATAAATTTTCCACTTTCGACCAATTTGGCATGCAACGCCAGCGCCATCAAGCTATCAAAGAGGGTTTTTAAGTGGGGAAGTCGCCTTTAGTGGCGCTTAAGTCGAATAGGAATCTTTACACTAGTTTTTAGACAAATTTTGTTCGAGCCTCAACGTCTGTTCTCTGTGCATTAAGTACACACATATTAATATCATCAGCGAATACCCCGTTCACATTACAGCCTATATCACGTAATATAGGCTGTCTTGCAATGAGCACTCATACATAGGATTTCCAGTGAAAACTAGATGTATGAGTGCTCATTGTAAGACAGCGTATATCACGTGATATACGCTGTAATGTGAACGGGGTAGAAGACAACTATTTTGATAAAATTATTGTCTATGAATCATCTATTAATATCATTGTAGATCATTCGAATCTTAGGTTCAATATACAATACGAAAAGGCCCATGTTCAATGGACACCCCTGTCGAACAGAGGAAGCAATTTTTACAGGTCTCGTGAGAAATCCATTAAATAGGATTTTCGACGAAGCTGTACGATAAGATTTTTCATCACTGGTTGTAGCCGGTTCATCAATATTTTAGTCAATATGTTGGACGTCTGTTTGCTATATTGTGGATATCGGCTTCCTATAAAAAGAGTAATTATTCCTTCCTAAAAGGCTGCAGGAGGTGTTATCATAGAGGTAACTCTAAGACTTGAAGGTCCCGAAGAAACGTGCTCAACTTTTTGGCTCAGCTCTGGTACTCTCTTCTGTTCCAAGCTAATCAATTCACCCCTCGAAACATAGGAAGATCCACTAACCCCTCATTTTATCTTTCAAACTTTCATAGCGAATCAAAACAAACATTGTGTAGTACTAGAATTTCGACTAGAATGGGGTACGTTAATCGTTTGCTTGGGACCAATAGGCTAGTCAAGTAGTGAGCCAATTTAAAATCGTTAGTTTCGTTGATTGTTGGTATTATACCTTCTATAAGGTATGAATTGAATAATTTGATCATATCGCTTTTCAAATGTTGCTTATAAGAATTGTAAAATTCATACGTTAGGTCATCTGGCCCAGGACTTCTTTTCTTCGCAACCTGTCTGAGAGCTACTTCTAACTTGTCAGGTGAAATAGGGGATGATGACATATTTTGATCTGCTGCATCCAATATTATAATTGGTTTAACATCTGTTCCATCCAGGGGGTAAGTCACAAAAACACACTTCGACACACTTCAAACACCCTTCCGCGACATGGAAAGCTAATTTTTTCATCAATTCTAGCATCACTGCCAATAATAAGAAAGAACCACGGCAGTCGGTTTGTTAAATTGCACCGGACTCAGGGGGTAAGTCACTCTGCCACCTTGTGTCTGTGCCAAAGGGGACGAAAGTAATTCGCTTTACATTTTATATAATAGATTTCTATAAAATTTACTTCAAAATTTCGATTTTTTATGATAAATTCGAGTCGTAATAAATAATAACAAGAACCTGCCGATATTCTCCGATTTCATACACTATTCATCGATTATCTTGGATGTGGTAGAACTATCGAGCATTATGCTGATGTGGTTTTTAGTGTGTTTTGTGATGTGAACTGTCACTTTCTTGAGCACTTGCTTTTGTGATTGTTGCATGTTCAAACTCTGGAAGCAACGATATTTGCCCGGAGATTTGGCAACAGAATTAATGGCCAAACGTGACCAAACTTAAGACCAAACGCTAGGTGCCATCGATGCTGATCTTCACCGGATGCCTGAGATTGGGGAAGTCTGTTGGGGTAGTGATGGTAATCAGTAATGACCTTGGAGATATCCGAGAATTCCCAGTCGTGTCATATGCGTTTCCGCATTTCCTACAATGTGTGTAATGCGTTATACTATCACCTCAAAATTTCAAGAGCACAGTTGCCAACAATGAAACTGGAACTTCACATTTGATACAGCAAACATGGAGTGATAGGGTATCTCAACCATCATCAGGCAATTTGTGGACTCTTCAAGGAATCACCATAAATCATCACTTTTATCGGTAGTTATCGGTAGGTCGACTTAGAAGACTTTCCCAATACTTGAAACTTTTGTAAGCGGAGGGGGGGGGGGGTAACTGCTCCAGAACAATACACTGTCCTTCAGTTCCTCTGTTCTAATCTAAAAATCTGTGATTCTCGGTAGGAAAAGTGAAAAATCGGTAGTTTTGAACCTTTCGTCTGTGAATCGGTAGGCACCCCGAAAATCGATAGGTCTGGCCACCCTGCCTGTCATGATACTTATAGAGATGTGACCGATAAAAATCGATATTAAAGGGTGTCCACGATGAAATTGCCACACACAAAATTGATTCGCAAAATTCGAGTTTTCATCCGATTGCCATCAAATTTTCAGGGATTGAGAAATAACTATTAAACTTCATTTTACTATTTTACTCGTATTTTATTTACAGTCCATACGCAAATGCCCGCACCTTGGCCTTAACCCCGGCTATAAGATTCTGCACAACCTGTGAATCAACCGTTTTTTGCATGTAAACCCATACTTTCTTCAGTTCCTCGACTGTCTTCACTACCTTAGGTCGTTTAAGAAGGTGCTGCTTCATAATCGCCCAGTACTTCTCGATGGGGCGGAGCTCCGGAGTGTTGGGAGGGTTGAACATTTTCGGCACGAAATTGACCTTATTGTCCACATACCACTTCAGCACGTCCTTGGAGTAGTGGCATGAGGCCAAATCCGGCCAGAAGATTGTTGGGACGTTGTGGGCCTTCAGGAGAGGAAGCAGCCGCTTCTGGAGGCACTCTTTTATGTACACCTGTCCGTTCATCGTGTCCTGGGTCACGAAAGGTGCACTCCGCTTCCCGCACGTGCAGGAATTTCTTCGCAAATTTGGACATCTTCTGAGTGCGGACATGCTCCGGAACGCTGAACTTATCCTTGGCCGTGAAAAACAGGTTGCCGGGGATCTGTTTGAAGTCGGCCTTCACATATGTTTCGTCGTCCATGATGCAGCATTCAACTTTCGTCAGCATGTTGAGGTACAACTTCCTGGCACGGGTTTTGGCGGACTTGTTCTGCTTCTCGTCGCGATTAGGGGCCTTTTGTACCTTGAACGTTCGAAGCCCAGCCTTAGTTTTGGCCTTCTGGACAAAACTTCGGCTTAGGTGCAGCTTCTTAGCCACATCCCTAACGGAGGCGTTCGGATTTCGGTTGAAGGCCCCAACTACGCGGTTGTGATTTTTGGTGTTGTACGGAATACTTTTTCCTTCACTTCTGGGCTTCCGATCGGTGGTCAACCGTTCCTCGAACCGCTTAATCACTCACGACACCGTGGAATTCGCGATTCCCAACGTTTTAGCGATGGAGCGATGCGAGAGATCCTTGTTCTCGTGATGAATGCGCAAGATTTTATCACGCATGAGCTGTTCTTTCGACTCCATTTCCGCGAGTTTTGATCACAGGACTTTAAAACTTGCAGGATGTAAATAATGCACTATGAACTAAATCCACCCAAATTTTCATTAAATTCTACCCAACGGTTAAAAAGTTAGAGCAATTTCATAGTGTGGTAATTTCATCGTGGACACCCTTTATTTGTTTTTCGAGATTTAAGCACGATTATATCGGATGAAAAATGGATAAAATGGTTTTCTTCTACTATAAATCAATAAATCAACCTCTAGAGTATTTAAGCAGTTGGCAACGAAGCGTTTCGGGATTCGTAGAAATCCGATGGGCCTGGGCAAATTCGTGCGTGTGAATGCGAGTTCTTTTCTTTTGCGCAATGTAATCAATCTCAACTGTGGAGGAGGAATGGATGGATGATCCTTTGGAATGAGTGGTCGTTTGCGGCCACTGTCGTGTGCTGTCTGTTGCTTGTCCGTAGGGAAAATGTGAACGTCTCCACCAGGATTACGTTTGACTAGATGAATTGCAATTTCAAAAAGTGGAAAAGTCTGTCTGGATCCGTCAGAATGCTCCGATGAATTCATTTTGATAGGTTGAGAGTGTCACAGCAACAGCAAGATGCTTAGAGTTCTAGATCACTACCGGGTTCCGTCCACCTTGCCTCTGTGATCGTGCTTCTTGTAGTTGTTAATGGTAGTGTTCCGTTTAATGGTATGTTGCCTTTTAGAGCTGAATTTTGTACATTTTTATGAATTGAACTAGCTGTTTTAGTTCGTCTTCCACATTTTCCTCGAATATCTTCGGTAGTGAATCAGATTTACTTTGTTGCATTAAGCAAACAACAGCAAAAGAGTCGCTAGTGGATCCGTCATTTTCAGCGTTTTGTTATTGTCGAGGGTATGTTTGCCATTAGGCATACTTTTAGGGTTGAAGTTATGACAGCTCGTTCGACACGAAGAAACACCTTTCGACACCCGAACCACAATATCATTTTTGCAAGGATCCTGCTGGTTTCTGGAATATTTTTGTTGAAAATAATGGAAAAATAAGAATAGTGCCTTAGTGGTTATGATCTCCCGGATTTCTTGTGTGCTGTTGTTCAGGTGCAAATCAGTTAAGGTGAAAAATCGTAAAACAAGACAGTTACTGATGGAAATTTGTAAGATATTCACTGAAAAATGCTTTAATTTCCGTTGTGAAAAATCCTTATTTTGATGTAAACAAACGAATTAGTTGACGTTTCCTCTCGAATTCGCCTGGCGCACTCTTCACCAGTGGTGCATTAAAAAGAACCATTCACCGTATTCAAATTCCCTGTTTCGATTATGTCCCACAACTGCATTCATTCACCCACAGTGCTACTATTGGTTCCACTAGTCGCCGCCACATGTGAAGCTGGCGCTCCTCGCTACCTGTCTCCGCGACTTCTTTTGATTACTGGAACGCTCTGACAGCTGCATACCAAAAGAAAGAAAGAAAGAAAAACTTGTTATGCAGTCGCGGTGCATAAGTTTGGAATGTCAACATAATGGTGTATAAGTTGCATAGCGTTTTCGTGTGATTTTGTAACACTGCTACGTGTGCCGTAATAGGGTTCTGTGTGTAGCGCGTCTACAGAAGTCGGTCGAGTAACATTCGGTGGAAAACTGCGTACATTTTGCCTGTTCAACGTCGATCGAGTGCTAAATGCAGCGCAGCGATGCCGGGAGGAACCGATATCCTGCCAAGTTCCTCGCAGAATGTCTCCGTAAACTATAATACTCAACGCGTAAACGGTGGCAACGATTTCTTCGATGATGGCGACGACGACGACGGCGGAATCGGATCCATCATTCCCGATCGAACCGGGAAGCATAGCTTCTGTCGATTGTGCCTGACCCATTCGGACGCACTCAATCCGTTGTTCCCTCCGGGTGCTACACCGGATCGGACTCTGCTGGCTCAGATTTTGGATTGCGTCGACGTGCAGGTAAGATTCGCTTTTGTCCCCCCACAGAAGAGCTTAATCAACACCATCGTTTAACATTCCGCAGATAACGCTTCCGGATGACATCAAATCGCTGATCTGCAACGAGTGCATCCAGCAAATATATTCCTTTGCCAACTTCAAGGAGCTTTGCAAAAGCAACGATCAGCTCCTTAAGAGCCATACCTTCACCCGTGACGAGTCGGAAGATGACAATGAAGGTGTCAATCGATCGGAGGTGGTTTCCCCGGAGGGATTTAACGTCCACTCGGAGGATGCATCTTCCACTCCGGATGTCAGTTTGTTCGAGAAACTGTACGAGCAGGGAGTGGAAGTGGAAGCTATCGGGGGACAACCGTCCGAGATGCTTGCAGATCATAAGTTTGATCCACTCAATGCAGAAGATCGGGAAGCCGAGAGGAAGGCAAAGAATGCTGCCCGGATGCGTCGTTGGAGAATGCGTCAGCGGGAAAAGCAGGAGAAACAACAGTTCTTCCAGGAGCCGGAGCACATCGTGAAAGCCGAACCGATCGAACCGGTTGAAGTAAAACAGGAGGAAGCTCTCCGAATGCAGCAGATTCAGGAAATGTTTGCAATCTTGGCTCAGCAGCAACTCCGCCAGGTCGAGGCAGAAATTCGGCGACTGAAAGGTGGTGTTCCAAATCCAGCAGTGTCGCAAATCCAACTGGAATCGGTAGTGAAATCAGAACCTCAGCAGTACGATGGACAGTCCAGCCGTCAAACCTCACCTACCTCGGATCAACAGATGGCCTCGTTGCGTAGATCTCGAGCGGAATACATGCGCAAATGGCGTGCCAAGCGATCCCAATCGCTGCAACAGAATCAACAACCACCGGCCCTGTTCGGTATGGTCGGACGTCCTCCAACAATATCGCCCGCGCCGGGTGAGTCGGAAAAGCTCGCCATTCAACGGCACAATCGTGCCGAGTATATGCGCCGTTGGAGACGGGAACGGCTAAAGCAGGAACTCAGTCCGGAAGAATTCACCGAATGGTGCAGCAAGAGCGAGCAACGGCGTCGATTCCGCGAGTGGCAAACGGTGCGGGAAAGTGCTTCTTCGGCTGGTGATGAAACCATGGACTATGCCGAGATAGAGGGCATCCGCAGTTGACCGACCGTGAGCTGCTGACGGGAATCGTTGGACAGCCACATTCTCCTAGCTGATCGAAATGAGATTTTGATGATGCGATGGTAAATCCGGGGATGGTGGTAAGAGTTTTCCTCTCTGTTATTTTTACTACTGACCACGCACACAGCACACAGTATTTCGTTAGTATTATTCTCTACTATTTCTCGCAAAGCTGATCTATATGCCTATATGTAAGTATATATATATAAGCCAACTTATATGCAGGATTATTTTTTTTTACCAATACGTAACTTGAGATTAGGTTTCTTGAAGACATTCTCCACGCCATTTTCACAAAACAACTCTCTACTACGCAGTATTTGCAATTTATGATATAGAATTTTATCCTATACTCAATCAAACTCGTAAAAGATTTTAATGATAAGAAGTGAGACAAGAAAAAAAAACAACAACCAGTTTTGATAGTAAGAACTCCACCAGTGACCGACCACTCGGCTTCACTGCAACAGCAAACGTCGACCGCAATAAACGCGACTAACTATTATACCTACTCAACACATCACTCATTCAGCTACCCGTTTTGGTAGCTATTATAATAGAACCTACTACGTATATGAATATTGAGATTTAGTGTAAGATACATAGAACATACAAGAAGATGAACAACAGCAACAACAACAACAAATACCTACTGCTTACCTCGTGGAAACACTAACAATAAAATGCAACAATAAAGAGCAATGTAGAATGTAGATGTTCGGTTTGTCCATCCGAAATGGCCTCCAATAAGACAGTCCCACCACCCATTCATTAGCTGAGTGCATTATGCAGGGGCAAGGCGAGTGTTTAATCAATATGTAATATCTTAACAACTTACAAACCATATAATGCGTTAAATGGCCAGGAAAGATCGACAATTCAAAAAGAAAATATTATCACTACATGAGCGGTGAATGGGACCCCTGGTTACATGCATTTATATGTTTTGAAATCAATGTTGACAGCATTGTATTGGATGTTTTATATTTATATTTTATAATGTTGAAGGTCATATGCACAATATATTTATGATAAGTAATTTTACTAACGATGTGAACTTGATTTTGCTCTAAAGTGAGCGGTGAACGGGCACCCATGCTTGGCATACACAGTTTAGCTCACGAACTGCTCATTTACTAATAACTTTTCACATAGTTGACGAAAAATAGTTCTGTTTGAAGCAGTCGATAGAATAGAGTTTAAGCTTGTTATAGATACGTTTAAAATAGGAGATTTTAACTCTAGTAATAAAATGTATTTGAATTTGCGTTGCAAAAATGAAGTGAGAAATGCTCGCTGCACATCTCTGATTCTAAGTGTAGAAATTCATTGGTATTGAATCAAATGATTAGATTGACCTACTCTTTGCATGTCTACAGTTAACTATGATCCTAATCTATCAATTACTTTAAAGATGACTAAATTTCAACAACTGAGTGAAAAGTTATTAACAAATGAGCAGTTGGTGTGTACAACTGTGCATTAGACTGATGCAAAATTTGAAATTTTCGCTCCACAATACTTAAACGATTCCAAATCGGATACTGACTAACCTCTCAAAATTTGAACCCATTTGGTGAGAACCTGAGATGGCACAAACCATTTGAAGTTTGCATGGGAATTACTATGGTAAAACCAAGATTTTTGTTCATGTCTATCTAATAATTCACCATATCGGTCTACTTCAAAAGCTTTCAACTGCACTTGTAGGAAAAATTCCCAGCTACAACTTTGCTCAAGACCACTTTTTGATTAAATGCAAGGATCGAAAGTTATCAATGGTTCAATGCGCTGATGTCTTATGATCATGCTCAATCAACTGCTCAGCAGGCAACATTGGTGTTTCTGGGGCTTGAATAGGACACAAAAATCATGGCTACTATGTCGCACTGCAAAATACAGTGTTGCCTACAGAGCAGCTGCTTGATCATGTCATAAGTTTACCAATCTGTTAATTAATTAATAACTTTTTCCTGTCTCGTTTTACATAGAAACGATTTTCAGCAAAGTTGTAGCTGAGAAAATTTTCTATAAGAATGGCTATTGAACTGTTTCGCAGCTCAATATGGAAAAAGACTAGAAGGCAATGCACAAAAAGTTGAGATTTTCCATAGTAATTTACATGTAAACTTCAAATGGCTTGTGCGAAGTCTGTTTCTAACCAAATGAGTTGTAACTTTGGGAGGCTAATCAGGACCCGATTTGAAACCATTTAGGCACTGTGGAGCGAAAAAGTCAAATTTTGCATCAGTCTACTGTGCATGCCAAGCATGCGGGCACCACACGGTATTTAACAAAAAACTTTCCCACGTACCTACGAATTATCAAAAATATTTCTGGGAAAAACATCTTCAGTTGGTAAACTACACGAAGTATTTTATAAACCTAAAAGTACAGTCAAATCTCCATATCTCGATATTTTCTATTACTCGATGGATTCTGCGGCCCCTTCATTTTTCCATTCGTATCGTACTCTCCATAAGTCGATATTTCTACAATATCGATGCCTCCTTTGATCGATGATCTGTAGTGTTATTTTTATTCTATAACTCGATATGTCAAAGGTAGAGCGTCTAAATTCTATGATCTTGATGTTAAAATCAAAGGAAAACATGATAACTGGTGAGTTCCCCCTGACCCATCGACCACATCAGAACATGTTACTGGTGTTTCGGGGAAATTGTCCGTACTAGAGAGGGTCTAGTATAAGAGAGGAGCGGACTAGCTGGTTTTGAGCCAAACGAACTGTCAAAGACAGAGCAAATTGAGCAGCGCCTAAAGCCCTACAGTAAAAATATGGACGTCTGTCAAAAGTTGTTCCATTCGAACCGTCAAAATGCACCGCTTTGCTTGATTGGAACAGCTTTTTTTCAGTTTTGTGGTAACAGTCGTCCATACTTTAACTAGAGGGCTTTAGCAGCGCCTATCTTGAATTCCATTGGCAGTGTTGCTAGAATTCAACTATGCATAGGTTGCCAAGGCAGTTTGTTTTGAATCCGCTCCTCTCTTATACTAGACCCTCTCTAGTCCGTACCTTTGATTTATACCGGAACCTATCATGAGATATACTGCCGTGTGTGGCATAATTGTCCCATTAGACTTTTTATCGATTTTGACTTTATTGCTGAAATCGTCACGATTTATCGTAAAATTTAAGAAAAATAAATTACATTGGAGGGTTTGTTCGGCAAAACTTGAAAACAATTTCAAGTTATTTTGTCCCATCGTAATAATTGCGGCATAACAGTCCCATCTGCAAATCTGTTTAAAAAAAATGGTAAATAAGTATTGGTTTATACTCAGGTGGATTGTTTTATTCAAAATAATGATAAAAAAACACAAGCAAGTTAATGGGAATGTAATTCAATAATTCATTTAAAAAAAATCAACCATCAAGTGCATAATAATAACAACAATCAAAGCTTTGTTTCATTTTTGCTTTCTTGCAGTGGAAGTTCCGTCCAAAATTGTTTTTTGGCCTCTCCAATGACCGGCAAAACGTTACTAAGAAGGGCGTTCTTTCGATCCACGTCAATCCCGCGGGGAGCCTTCAATCGCTTCAGGCTGCTATCCAACTCAAAAGCATCATCTGTGACAGTCTTCATTTGCTTTTTTGAAAATAAAAAGCAGTATCGACTGAATTGCTGTACCCGAATTGATAGCTGTGCTTGCGGAGAACCACTTTTCGAATATTCTCGATGTACGGTCTCGGCTGAAGTTTGTTCAGCGTATATTGCGAAGCACTCAAAGTAGTCTGGAAGAAGTCTTTAAACGACATTTCAAGAACTTCCACGTTCTTCTTTGCTTTGACTACAACCTCCTTGAAGTCTGGAAAAGTTATTATTGGATCACCAATATGATTCCGCATTTCTTTTTCCATTGCCGCATGGAAACTGTCGGCGGACATAAACGTATGCCCGGACTCGAAGTATTTGAGAACCAATTCCTTAATCTGAATCGAATTTGAATTCATCAAAAGAATCAGATGAAGGAATTGGTTCCAATTCTTGTTTTGTGCAGAGCAGTTGTCTAGCCACATGGTAACTTTATCGTAGAATCCAAGTCTTGTAATTATACGGTGAAAGCAAAGTCGTTGGGAGAATACAACACTCTTCAAGCCTTCCAGACGCGGAAGCTGAATAACCTGAAAGCAGAAAAGTACTTAGAAGTAATTGTTAGAGTAATTGCTTTATTTTTGTTACCCTCTGGAGGTCATGTCCAGGTTCTGTCTCATCTCCGTCACATTTGTAAGCGATGCGGGATAACTTAGCCAAGCGTTTATGTTCCGAATACTTAAAGCATATAGAGCAATCATCATTTACAAAGCCGTCCTCGATTGTATGGTCAGAATCCTTGAAGTGTTGATCTGCTGCAACGCAGGTTTCGCACTGTTCATGCCCAAGCTTCACGAAAGAAATATTAATCTTTTTGATTTGTCGAGAATACACAGAATAGCTAACGTTCAAATCATGTGTGTCTTGATAATCCTTTTTTTCCTTTGGTTTGTTTTTTTCCGTCGATCTTGTTTTCCGTGCTGAGCACCAATGCTACCGACGTGCCAGGAAGGCAGCTCCCACACCTGGACCCTACCTATCGACCCATCAACTCATGAACCGGGGACTAACGGCTTTACTTCCCATCCGAAGGAAGGCGTGATCAGAGATGTTATGCCTCAGAACATCCCGGCGGCGCCGACTGGGATTGAACCCAGGCCTGCTGGGGTGAGAGGTAATCACGCTTACCACTACACCACCGGCGCCGTTATCTTGATAATCCTGATGCATTACTTTTTCGGTTAAATCTGACGGTAGATATAAACTGTTCGGCGCATGTTCGCGCCGGTAGTGGGATATCGTTGGGTTGCATGATTGGATATGCGCAATGACAGTATCTCGCTTGGTCGAATCTCGAGTATATTTTCCTCTTTTTGAAACTCTCGGTCCACGACAAGACATCGATAAACGGTATTGCTGTAGAAACAAAAAAATTAATGTAGTTAATTTGAACATCCTGGTCACAAGTGAAACGGAGGTAACATACCCACAATCTTCGGAATACCCAAGTGTATTGAGGAAAAATGTTCGGCAAACAGGCACAAACTCCTTGTTCTCTCTTTCCACTTTAAACTTATATTTGAAATGCTTTACCGGGTTAGTATCTGTATATCGATTCTTGACACGCTTTTCAACTGGAAACTTTTGAACTCTTTCGCGAATATATGCCTTCTGACCAGTTGAATCTTGCTTCCAAAACTGCGAGTGGGCTGCAATCCATTCATCTTTGGACACAATTTTCCAACACTCTTTCGGACAGTCGCATTTGATCAATTTCACTTGGTGAGATCTCCGTCTTTTTTTCGCACTAGCATCCTTTTTAATTTCTTTCGATGTTCTCTTCCGCTTTTTCTGTGTCATCGTTGCTTCTCCAAAGAAGCTGCCATCAGAATCTATTAGATTCTCATCATCAGTTGAAGAATACTCAGGTGGTTCATGTGAATCCGGATGATCCAGGTGCTTTTGAGTAGAAGACGATGGTTTTGTAGTTTTGAGCTTTCCGCTGCCTCATTATCTAAGTCGAACCCGGCCAAATCTTCATCCGAATCAGAATCACTATGGTATTGTTTCAGCAAACTAAGCGCATCCATTTTGCAATAGATTTCTACAACAGCACAAATTGATGACTGCAAAAACAAACACTGCGC